AAATCATTTTGATTTTGCGGACCCCCGAGAGGCCGCATTTTAAGAAACACCGCTCTAAACAATCTGACAAGGAGGCTGGAGCAACAGATCCCCCCCGCCCCTTGGCAGAAGGTTGGACTAGATGAGATCTAGTGATCAAGTGCAGAATCCAGCACCGTCAAATGCTTTGAATTACAGTTCCCATCAGCCTCTGCTGGCAGAGAGATCAAAACTATGGGAGGTTTAGCCTGATAAAGGTTTAGCCCTGGTTACCTGAAGAACCGCCTCGCCCCGGTTACATCAACCTGTCCCACCTGCTCCAGCAGGAAGGGCATGTTGCAGACCCCGACAGCTAGAGAATTTCAGCTGGCGGGGTCTGGGAGGAGAGCCTTTTCTGCCATTGCCCCTGCCCTGTAGAATATCTTGCCCCCTGGGTGAGATTGGCCCCCACTCCTTTGGCCTTCCGGAAGAGCCTTAAGACCTGGCTGTGCCAGCTGGCTTGGGGATCTAATGGGGTCTCCCGACATTGGGGATGGTTAGTGCCCGGAAGATGTGCTCCCCGCTTTTTAACTCCACGTGTGGTCTTCTTAACTCTGTTTCGTGTTTTCAACTGTTTTTATGCTTTTCCTGCGTGAGCTGCCCAGAGTTGCTCGTCTAGCAAGATGGGCGGCGCGTAAGTTTGATTTATAAATAAATAAAATAATGTTTTTCGTATTATACGACGGCGGCTTTCTGAAGTTTACCTAGGTATTCGATCAATCGTGACATGTTTTCTCCGTGGCTTTTTTCACGGCAGTCCATTTATTTTCACCTGGATGCAGAGTCGAAGCCATCCAAAAAGCGAATGCGTTTTAAACCCAGTCAGTAAAAAAAAGAACGGAAACATCTGGCAGGGCGTGAGCCTGCCTCCTCCAGGGCAGGCAAACCTTGCCCCGTCCCCCAGATGTTCCCTCCATAGCCCGCGTTCTCACTTCTATCGTAGCTGTTCTTGCCGCCGGAGCACCCGAAATTGTGGCATTCATGGCCGACGAAGCGATGGAATCCCTCCCGGGCCTCGTTCCTCTTCAGTACACCCTCAGACATTATCTGCTTTATCTGGACGGGATTCGGAGCTGTGCGAAGAAACTGAACCAAGGTGAGATAGAGTCCTCTTGGCGCTCCCCTCTTGATCTGGGAACCCCTCTCTTCCCTCCTAAAAGTTCTGCAAAGGCTGAAAGGTAAGAGAACCTATTGGAAGAGTGTAGATATTTCTTTGGGTGGTCGATTGCTTAGATTTTGTAACCTGCTGGGCTTCCAGGCAGCGTGCCCAGTTCTAGCTGGTTTATCCCCACCACAACGGTCCTGCGAGGTAGGTTGGGCTGAGATGGGGGGGGCTTGGCCCAGGGTGCCCTGTGGCTGAGCAAGAATGTGAACTGGTTCAAGTCTAGCCCTTAAACCAGGTTTTGTGTGTCTGTGTCTGTGTGTTTGAGTCAGTCTTGACTCCCAACGACCACTTGGACGACTCCCTGCAGTTTTCTCCGCAAGATTTCGGAAGAGAGAATAACTGCCCCCAACCCCCCCAGCTGGCTTTGTGCCTAAGGCAGGACTAGAACTCACAGTCTCCCGGTCTTCAGCCTGGTGCCTTCACCTCTACACCAGTGCTTCTCAACCTTGGCGACTTGACGATGCGTGGACTTCAACGCCTAGAATTCCCCAGCTGGCTGGGGTCCATGCATCGTCAAGTCTCCAAGGTTGGGCTTCAACTCCTAGAATTCCCCAGCTGGCTGGGGTCCATGCATCGTCAAGTCTCCAAGGTTGGGCTTCAACTCCTAGAATTCCCCAGCTGGCTGGGGTCCATGCATCGTCAAGTCTCCAAGGTTGGGAAACTCTGCTCCGCACCATCCTGGCTCTCAATAATAATAAAGTCCCTGCAGTTTTCTTGGCAAGTTTTCAGAAGTGGTTTGCCCTTGCCTCCTCCTTCCTAGGGCTGAGAGAGAAAGACTGGCCCAAGGTCACCCAGCTGGCCTCATGCCTAAGGCAGGACTAGAACTCAGGTCTCCTGGTTTCTAGCCTGGTGCTTTAACCACCACTCCAAACTAGTCCTCTCAATATAGAGCAGTGTTTCTCAACCTTGGCCACTGGAAGATGGGTGGACTTCAACTCCTAGAATTCCCCAGCCAGCTATGCTGG